AATTTTTAAAAATAAAAAAATAAATATATAAGCCCACCATGTAACACCTAACAAATCCTTTGTTGATGAATCAATTTTTTCTCTTAAAATTTTTGAGTCAGATCAAGGCACAATTTACATAAAGTAAAATTTACCCTTTTTATTGAGTGTCTGACAATTATATATAGTCATGTAACCATCAACATAATCAAGATAAGTGTCATAGTTTATCTTCTTAAAAAAAATGTTTAAAGTGCCTACTGTGGGCCAGGGATGTAACTCAGTGGCACCGTGCCTGCCTAGCAAGTGCAGGGTCCTCAGTTCAATGCCCAGTACCAGAAAAAAAAAAAAATGTGCCTGCTGTGACCCGGGCACAGTGGTGAGCATTTTACTAGTATTAACTCATGTATTCTCCATAACAATTTCAGAGAAAAGTTACATAAGTGGCAGAACAGGGACTCACACTCCAGTGGCCCTGCACCAGAGTCCATCTTCTGAAACACTCTCCCTCTTTCCCAGTGAGAAACTAGGAAACTGGGGAGAGCCTAAAAGGACATAAGAAGGAGCAACAACTATCCCTGTGAAGAGAGTTAAGATCCAGACTGAGAAGCCAAATGATAAGGCTGTTTCTTCCACAAAGAGCTTCTAATAAAAGTACAATGCAAATGAAAATCCTAAAGTTTCAGTTGTCATATTAAAAGCTAAAACATCAGGAAACCATGCAAAGAGCATCTGAAATGTATCAATAACCACTTACAAGCCAAAGTCATAGCTGGGGAGCTAGGGGAATTAAGGAGCTCTTGCTTTTCCTTCACTGTTCAGCAAGACAACTAATCACACAGCATGCTCTCCTTCATTTAGTGAAAACAGAGAACCCTGGACATTTCTTGTCAACAACATATTGTTAAAGGCCATTACACAAGTTACGTTCTTTTAACACAAGTGACAAAAGTTAAAAGAAACAGGTTTTCTCCAAGCACATGTTTTATTCTAAGCTTTCCCAGGTATTTAGAAATTGTCACAGACAAAGCCATTGGCTCTTCTTTGTTCCTCTGAAGGGTCATAGTATTTTCAAGGTCTTAAATGCTTAATGTTACATTAATAAACTTTCATTGATTAAAATGGGCAAGCTACATATAAAAATAATGACTAATAGCACAGTTTTCTTCCCACAAATATCTAGAATCTGACAGACACTGCATCAGAATCTTCTGGATGAATCTGTTATTGTATAAAAGACATTAACCAAGAATTCACTGCAGCATAAAAGGATGTATAATTGTGTAACCATCACATAAAATGGCTATATATATATATATATACACACACACACACACACACACACACACACATACATGCTTGGGACTTCTTCTTGCATAACACTGCTTCAGGTGATTTTTTGCATGCTGTGTTACAAAGTACCAAATTATAATTTAATTTTGATGAAAGTCTCATAGTATCTACTAACATGAAAGATTAAATTATTTTGTCAAGATACATTTAAGGAGCTGATCTACCAATAGGAGGGTGTGAGAACAGAATAGTTTCCTTTCATCATCTATTCCATTAACCTAAAGCTACAATCAACAAATATAACACTCATTACTGTGAGACAAACACTAATGAGAGAGTCATCCCATGCTGATATAATGGTAGCAGTTAATTCTATCTTCAACCAATTGCTTAGTTGGTTCTTTTTAAGAGTATTTTTGTTGGAAAAACAACAGGATGTAGGATCAGCTACACAGTTTGAAATGCTTACCACTTTGCCAAAAAAGTATAAAAATTACCAAGATGTTAAAAAAAATAAAAGAAAGGGCTGGGGATATAGTCCAGTGTGAAAGCCCTGAGTTCAATCCCCAATGTTGCCTCCTACCAAAGGAGTCACTAAAGAACTATTAATAATATTGCCTGAAGAAAAAAGAATGAAGGGGTTAGGAGCTAAGGCTGAGTTTTTTACCTCTGAAATTTTCATTCATGAATTACTTACTCATTCTTTTAATGAAAAAAATTCAGTGCAATAGAAATTAAATATTCTGACATTTATTGGGTATCTGCTTTGGTATAGTCACAGATAACACTTTATTAAAGCTTAAAGAGATCTTTCATTTTGTGTTTACTATTTCTTCAATATAATCAACTCTTAACTACAAATAGCACAATACATTTTTAAAATCAGGAAATAAAAGCTGGTCTCTGAAAAAAAAGGATCAACCACCATATCACATTCCTTCTCACAATATCACATTTTTAAAAATCAAGCATGTAAGCCAACAACCAGATGGTATTCAGATACTGGCTGGTCATCAGAGTGAGGACAGGTTAGGAAAAATAATGCAGTTAGCAACTAATAAGACTCTTTACAAAAACAAATAAAACCAAAAAAATACACAAAAGGCTCTTCCTTTTAACCCTAATGGGTTTTTTGTTTGTTTGTTTTGGTACTGGGAATTGAACTCAGGGCCCCTCACTTGCTAGGTAGGCACTATGCTGCTAAGCTATATTCCCAGCCCCCTTTTAACCCTAATGGGAATCAGAGCTTAAATCAAAAGGGGGAGCAGTGAGAAAACACTCTGGGAAAACAATATCCAGATTCAACTCAGAAAATGCCTTTGTTATCAGCTGGTTCACAGGGTCCCAGTATGAATTCCTTGCAGCTAAGGAAATAAAAGTGAAAATTTTCAAGATTTCAAAGAGACTTTTAAGAGGGCTCATATACTTATCTATGAAACATCTCAAGTTTACAAAGTCAGATTACCCCCTCTCCCCAATACCAGGGGATCGAACCCAGGACCGTGCACTTGCGAGGCAACAGCGCCACTGAACTAAATCCCTGGGCCCAAGACAGATGTTTAATAAGCCCTATGTCCTTCCTACTGTACCAACGTCATTTCGCACCAACCCCTATCTTCAAATCCCAGGACAATGATGCCCCCCCACACACACACACACTTGATTCTCTCTGCTTAATATGCTCATCCCTAATTATTCATTGAACTCCTATTCATCTTGCAAGACCCACCTTCAATGTTATCTCTTAACAAAGAGCATAGGTTCTAGAGTCAAATGACTCCCTGGATTTAAACCCTGACTCTTGACACTGACTACAAGACATGGGCTAGTTGGTAACAGCTTTGTGCCTAGGTTCCTCCCCTATAAATTGGAGATAATGATAGTACCTACTTCACTCGATTGACATGGGGTTCAATGGGATAATGCAGGAAGCATATTGCAAATAACAATAAATGTTATGCTGCTGTTGTTAATAATATGCATTGTTAGCTCATAACTAACTCAGGTTTCCCGAAGGTGCACCTAAACTTAATAATCGTGGCAGCATCTAACTTTTCAAATTCCAAACCACAGAGACCACCTGACCCACTTTTCTTAAGACTAAATTCCCAAATAGAGTCCATGTCTAATAAAATATCTGACATGCTAATAACCCTTCTGAAATAAAGACAGGCTGTTTTTGTTATATAGCTAGTATTATATGGTACAGAGGCAGTTACACATCACAGCATCAGACTTTGCTAAACATGAGTATTCTTTTTTAATTGTATACAGTATTTTTATTATTTTATTTTATGTTTATAGTACATGAGGTTTACATTCACCTTAGGGAGTGGGCACATGTACATAAAACATCTTGATTCTTTTTCAATTCCCTTCCTCTGCCAACCTCCCTCCCTCCCTCTCTACCCTTCCCTCATTTTCGTTATGTTATTTTTAGTTCATGTTTACGAAATATGTTTACATTCTCTGGGTATTTGGTACATGTATATAACACATCTTAAATCATTTTACTTTCCCTTCCCTTCTCTCCCTCCCTTTGCCCTCTGGACCCCTTCCCATTTGCAAAAGATCTATCTCCCTGTTTCCTTGTATCATTCCTTTATTTTACTCTTTATTTGTACTTTGTTTTACTCAAATGAAAGATACCATACAGTATTTAAGCCTAGGCATCTGATTTATTTCACTTAACATTATATTTTCCAGGTGTATCCATTTTCCTGTAACTGTCTCAAATTTATCCTTTTAATAGTCATGTAGTATTCCATTATGTATAGGTATAAAAAACAGCATATAAAACATTCTGTGGGCCATTGACACAGCAGCATGAACTTTGCCTCAAGAGTCTTTTAAAACTGTGAAAATGTAATTCACCTCTATACTACTTTCCCTTTACCTGGTTCAATATATCAAAAATACCCTGAGAGAAAAACTTCTTATTATTTTCAAGTTTGACAAGGGTAGGTATGCTTTATTTAAAATATTTCTGAAAAAACACAGCAATACTGTGACTATCTTAAAGTGTTTGAATGTTGAGAAATAATTCTAATTTCTCCTCTTCTTCATCTCCATGTCCACCTAGTCTGATTAGCTTTACCTCCAAAGCAGATCTCTAATGGATAGCATTTCCATGGTAATCTCCCTCATCTAAACTACCATCATTTCTCATCTGGACCAACTACAACAGTCTCCAAAAATGTTTTGCAGCTTCCAAAATTGTGACCACTACGAGTATGATAATATCTGTAGACTAAAAGACTACTGCATTGTGAAAAGCTAGATGAAAAAAATACATATTATATGATTCCATTTATCCAAATCTCTAAAAGATATAAGCAAATTTATTGTAACATTGAAAGCAAGGTTTACTCAGGTATGGGAGTCAGAAAAGGGCAAGATGTCACAAAATGACATAAGGACATTTTTGAGGTAACTGATTTGTACACTATCACAACTGTTTATTTCATGTATGCATATCTCTCCATCAAAACTTACCAAATTATATACTTCAAATACAGTACATCCAATGTATTATACATCAATCATGCCATGGTAAAGCTGTTTTTAAAACATGAAAATACACAAGAAAGGGGGTGAAGGGCGCACAGGTAATGGGGAAAAAATAAGAACCAAGATACATCATGTACAGGTACAAGCACCCAATGATAAATGTAAACATACTGTATACCTAAAATGTACCAATAAAAGAATTTAAGAAAATACACAAGAAAACCATGGCATTTTAAATAAAATATGAAGTCTCGGGTTTGCTTCAAATAATCTAGGGGAGAAGGTTACCACACAAGGAGATAGAAATATAGGTGAAACAAGATTAGACATGAGTTGATAATTATTAAACCTGGGCATTAAGAATACAGTAGTTTAATTTACTATTTTTTCTAGTTGCATATGTTGGGAATTTTCTTCTTTATTTATATTTTTAATTTTATTTTTATTAGCACATATTTGCTGTACATATGACTACATTTGTTGTGGAGAGATGATACCTATACATAACACATCTTAATTCTTTTATTATAGAGATCTTTTATTGTATCATTAAAATATCACAAATTGGTCTTATACTCCAGAAGCTTGTTTCTGTAGCTGGATAACTGTCAAATCTTATTCATCAGGTTACTGAACTGTTCCCTCTTCAGAAACATACATACCATCCAAAATTTTCTGATATCCTTGTTTTTGACTGCTGTGCCTTGCTGAATCAAAGCAGCTAAATTTGAAACAAGGCCAAGGATTAGTTCATCTTTCTGGGCTTGAAATACCGAGCAAGCAACACCTGCCCTCATATGAACCCAGCAAATACATTTTTCACCCCCAAAATTCTGGATTTCAACAAGAGACCCATTCTCCTGAATAACGAGGTTCATGGGGAAGTGAGCATAAACGGATCTCATCTTGTAATGGAAGCCCAGAGTGACACCCTTGATCATGTTCTGTACATGACTACAGGTCAAGTGAACAGTAGCTAGTTTCTTTCTGTTTCCCTACCATTTGTCAACCCAGAGCCTCTTTTTCTTTCCAAGGAGTCTGAGTTCAACATTGTTGTGGCTGAAGTCCTTCTGCAGGGTTCCTCTGGGGACTTTCACAATAACTGTGCGTCCCTTCAGAGTGATGTCAACATTTTCTGGAATACTAACAGTCTGATTGCTGAGAATGGTCTTCATTCTCACACTAGACACAGCACACAGCCTCATTTCTTTTTACATCCCATTCCCCTCACCACCTTCCCACCTTCCTCCACTCTTGGTTCCCTTTCCATTTCCAAAAGATCTATCTCCCTGTTCCCTATTATCTACCTTTTATTTTGCAGGATTTTTTTAAAAAGCAAAATGTTTTCCAAATTAAAAGATAAAAAATCATCAACCAGGATAAATGAAAAGAAGAAAAGACTATGCCTGCCAGAGCTCCAAAGCACTAGGAAGCAAAACCTTCCTTAGAAATTTAAAGTGTAGAGGAATTCAGAGTTTAAATGAAAGATTTTACTCTCCACTCTATAACCTTGAGAAGTGTACTTGTTCTTTTACAGTGCAATTGTCCTTGCCATCGTTGGCTACAAACTGGGCTTCCCAGCATACCTGACTTCCAAGCAGTCTTCAACTGGCACATTACATGGGCTCCCACAGGCATGGTTCCAGCAGCCTGAAGCTCAGGATAACAGAAAAATCATGTCACTGTCTATGAAGGACTCTATGCATGGTGAAATAGCAACATGGTTAAGTCACTGGGTAATACAGCAACAGCCAGCTCAGAAACACACTAAGAGGAGCAGCATTTGTACCATCACAGACACAGCCTCTGTTCACAAGCCTCTAAAAGGAGTCTCTTTTCAATCACTTCCACTGTCTTTAAAGAAAAGTATTCTCTACTTTCAACCCAGAATTTAAATGACTGACAACTCTGTTATTTACCCTACCTGACATTTACTGAAAGTATACTAATCCTTATCATCTAATCTGCTCCTCACAATAACTCTAGACAGGAGAAGTATTATTATGCCCACATTAAAAATGAGGCATTCTGAAGCTCAGAGAGATGACATAATGGCTGCGTCCTGGTCACACAGATAGCTCATGGCAGGCCAGGAGTGAACAGTCATCACACCACGGCACCTTCAGCTTATCATACTTCTCTGCCTTACCTGATTGGCTATCTCTAGGCTTAGCAGCCTTTCTACCCAAGGTACACATGTGAAAAAACAGTAAAATATCTCAATACTTCACTTTTTTAACCCAATGTTAAATATGACAAAGAATTTTAATAGTGGAAAGATAAAACATTATTTCAAATAAAGCTTTCTGAATTTTGTGGCATTTTATTTATGCTCTAGGACAGTGGCGGACCTATGGCACATGCGCCAGCCCCACAGCAGGCTGTTTATATCATGCAGTGCTCTAAAAGCTTCACTATCACTGCCACAGGACAAAGACCAACAAAGAAAGGGCTGCAGTTAACTTTAGTTATTGCATGGGAAGAGGAAAAAGGAAGGTGACACCTAAAGAAAGGTCAAAGATAGAAAGGGAGATCAAACTGGAAAGACAACCATATTAAACATACAAAACAAATTAAGAACCACTGCCTCCACAATACTTTTTCTGTAAAACCAGCTTGTCCTGTCCTGGTGATTACCCTGTTAGCAAAATGAATGAAAACAGTCATTTCCTCAATGCTACTTGTTTCACCCACACTGGGTTAAAAAGGAAGAATTTTCAAAACTGTATTAAATATGCTCAAGCCACAGTGGCTCTCTACTTTCCAATAAACTACATTCCTTTCATACTCCAAGATCTATGTAATAATTCTTGCTTCTACAGTAATGCATAAAACTTGGTATTTAAAATACGATTCTGATTGTAGAACAAACAGCATATAAAAAAAACAGTGGTTCATATTTACCAGACATATATGCTACCTGGGTGCTTTTTAATTGTTTTTAATCTGCAAAACAACCTTTTGATGTAGGTTCTACTATTGGTTAGGCAACTATATAATTTATTATTCAAATAAGAAAATTTTAAGAAATGAAAGGGCAAGCTATTAACAACTGTGCTGGGCAAAGGCATAAACCAAGAATGTTTGGACACCCTGTCATTTACTTTTCACAAATGGAGAGCCAAGGAACAGAAAAGCTAAAGAGCCTGCCAAAGCCACTCAGCTAATAGGCAAGCCCAGGCTGTGGCCCCAGATTCACACTGTCATTGTGCACCTGTGAGTGACCTCACACAGTATCAGACTTTACAATAAATCACCCAAATGTTCAAAACTGAGGTGTATACATTTTCCTGTATTTCACAAATTCCTTTCAAGAAATCAGCTACAGTCCAAGGAGAAATGTGAGTCAAGACTTCATATTTATTTTTTTAAAGACATCATTAGCTTTTTGATAGAGCCAAAATGTATCCCTTGTTAGGTGTGTGTCTTAGTTACTTTTCTCTCATTGCTGAGACGAAATACCTGACATCCAAAGTTTAAGGGGAAAGGTTTATTTGGCTTACAGTTTGTAGAGGTTTCAGTCCATAATCAGCTGGAACCAAGGCAGTGTAGCAGAGGGGCAACAGTTCATGGTGGCAGAAGACAGCAAAAGCAACAAGGGACCTTAACAGCGTCTTTCTGCCCCTTTTATCTTAACCAGACTACTGGCATTAGGGCAGTGTCAAGCCAATCACTCACGTGTACTAGTTTAGTAATCACACACTCTTAATCCCAGCATCACACACTCTAAAAAAAGCCACCTATGATGGCATGAGACTTTGGGGGGACATCTAGAAACAAGCCATAACAGTGTGCTTCCCTCAGTGTATTTTTTCAGACATAGAGCATCTGCTTATTTCACTTAGGAATAAAAACCCCACCAAAAGCAGCAACACCTACCACTTAAACAGACATCCATACTTACTTACATTGACACCACAGATGTCTTTGGTGGTTTTACTGGCTCAAACCCAACAGGGTTTTTGTATTTCTCTTACCACAAAAGCAACTGTTCCGTTTCACAGACATGCTCAGTAAAATTTTGTCATCTCTTGCTATTACTCAAATGGCTTCCAAAAATTTTCGTGGAAAAATCACATCCCAGAAATAATAAAGTGATAAATGCATGGAGTTAAACATTTTTTCCTCTCATTAAAAAATAAATTATAGTTACCATAAAACCTCAAGGACTGGGAATGTCAGATAGAAGGCATGTAGATATAGATAAAGATACAGACACAGACATAAATAGATATGATATTTGTAAACATGCTATTTAACACATCATATTAATATATTTCACATTATCCCTTTCTTGAGTTCCTCAATGTCAAAGTGACATCAGTAGAGGGCAAAAGTCCTTTGCCCTTACTGTTCTATCTGTACTCAGGTAACTATAAGACTTGCCTCACCACTCCAATGAGTGTCTCTATCAAATATTTCACCAGACAAGCTGAATATAAGATTTCTCCCTTAATCTGTGCAGCCTATGGTAACTCCAGGAGTTGGTGTGAGAACTAAATTGAACTGCTGAACACTCAGTGGTACTGGACAATTGGAGAACTGATGTGGAAAAATGGCATGTATTTCATGTCAGAGAAAATCCCACACATTTGGTGTCAGACATGGTATCAGGAAAAAAAAAAGTGAAATTATTAGCACTTACCCCTTCATGACAAATTATAAATTTATTTATTTCTCTCACTAGAAGGCAGGCACCTTGACACTACAGATTTTGTTCTGTTCAATGCTTTATCATTAGTTTTCAACAGTGTCCAAGACTGTAGATGTTAATAGCTATTTGCAGGACCAGTGGATGACCACCTACACTTCAGCTTCTATACTCTTGGTGGAGAGCAGAGATTCAGCAAAGAGGGAGAGGAAAAAGAAAAAGAAAGAAGAAATAGACAGAAGATCCCCCTTTATAATTCATCACTATAAAAGCACAAAATAAAAAGTATTGGTTTTAAGACAGATTGCAAGTAGAAAGTAACTGCAATAATCCCACAGGCTGAGCCCAGGCAGGAAGCATCATCAGGGGAGTCACCATGTGGGCCCAGGAACTGGGAGAACCAGTGTCTGGTCTGGGCTATGTCCCTTCACTGTTGGCCTGGGTTCCCTCATTTTTCAAATGCAAGTGCTGCAAGAAAGATTTTATGAGCTCCCACTTTCACCACCATTTGACGTGAGTGGATGGATAAATCCCAAATACATCCATTACAAATTATATCACTTCCTCCAGAGATTTTTCCATAGATTCTTGCAGAGACAGAGACACAAGATAAACAACTATTCTCTTCTTTAAGATGCCTCATTCAAGAGCCTCAACTTTTACAGCCCAAATTGCAAGGCAAGAGGGAGAAGAGAGAAAGCACAGCAAAGCCCTCAAAAAAGGTTAAATCCTCTGACCTATACAACGTTATGATCTGCTTAAGAGGAATTGATTGTAACAACTGTGGAAAACACATGGTAGATTTTCAAAACAAGAACATGAAGCACCTAGTTCCTCAAATATCAGTCACACTGAACACAAAAAGCAACTGTTAAGAGACAGCATGTCACATGGATTTCTGTAACAAAGACACAGCTTTCTCATCATCTAATAATAACAGTATACCACCAGAGAGAATCTGTGTTTACTTTCAAAAAGTTTAAGATGCTAGTGTAAAAGACAAAAGAATATCCACCATTTATCCAATCCCAGAGAGATTTATTCTAAAGTATGGAAAAATCAGTTTGTTTCTTCCTAAACAATGTATGGTATATAGTGGCATCATCCTAAACATAGGCAATTTATAGGTCAACTTGAACCAAACCAGCAACATCACTGGGTACAGACTACATTTGCTGAAAGATTTGTTCCAAACTCAATCACTTTTACCTCTCCGAATAACAGTGTAAAACTTTTCAGTCCTTTAAGCAAGGCCAGATATGGCCCTACACATTGCTTGAAGTGAGAAAAATAAACAGTTTACTGAGAATTTAACACATTCCCTTATCTTACAATCTTCTATGTTCTTCGGTGACAATTCATTAGCACGTTATGAGAGAATAATGCAATTAGCCTTCGCCAAATGGTATTTTTAGTTAAACATTATTTTCAAAAAGCTACTTGAAGACTTCCATGATTTTATTTGGATGTTTTGAAAGTAGTTAAGTGTTAAATGCCCAATTTTGTATGTTCTGGTGCTTGATTAGATGCAGTGTTTACTTCCTTTCCTGAGTATAAAGTGGAGACTGTCCATAAAAAGAAGTGTTAGTTATAATTGCATGCTACCAGATGGTACATCTCCTTTCACATCCCTTAAAAGGTCCAGAATAAATATCTTGCATGGATTAGATTTCAGAGTAAGGTGTGATTTCATAGTTTGCTGGCTTATTTCATTTAAATTTTCATTACATTGATAACATAGTACCAGTAGTTGTAACTAGCATTTGCCAAGTGCTGACTACATGCCTCCCTCTACACTAAACATTTTCTTCACAATATCTCATTAAACCTCTCAAAACCCCATACTGGTTACTATTATTATTGCACAAAGGAAGAAGCTCACTGAGTATCTAAGAAACTTGCCTTGGGTTATTCAGCTAGTGGGTAGATGTGCTGGGACATAAGCCTGGGTCCAACTCCAAAACTGTGTGCTTTCAATAGTCATGGTATACTTCTTCCTTACATG